GGTGTCCTTTAACTCTTGCAGGAAGTATTACTGGGAGTGTTCCCAAGTCCCTGCCTGGTAAGTGAAATGAAACAGCTCCATGCTCAAGAACTGCCTTTACCAGGCAACCTTCGGGGACACAAATGTAGCTCTGGGCTTTGGTTTTCTTTTGCCTTGACTAATGCAAGTTTGGTGTCTGCACTGGAGAGCGAGCCAGGTGCAACGGGTCTAGTAGACCCACGAAACAAACGACGGGACGATGACACTCAGAAAAGGCTGTCATCAGCCCACTGTCCTGTCCCGTATCCTGGGTCCTCTGTGCTGCGCACCTACCACCTGGCAGGGAGTTACAAGCGTGGCCCTCGCCAGGGACAACACTTCTAATTCTGCAACGTCCTGTGGAGGGTCACCTGCCTGTTCTCTGAGAGTAAGGTGAATACACAGGAATACTCTTTACCACGGGAGGGCATTCAGTCCATGGGAAACGGGCCTAAGCAGAGGAGAGGGAAGAGCCGACAGAAGTGCGTAGAGGGCTGTGCAGAAGCGAAGTCTGAGCTCACCGGGGACACCTGGCTGCGGAGGCACAAACCCCGTGAGAGCAGCGAAACAGGGCGGGCGCACTCCCTGCTTAAGGGAGCACTCCCTGCTTAAGGGAGCGTCCGCCCCACGCTTCAGAGGGAGCCCTACAGGACAGGCCTGCAAGTCCAGACCCTTCACTCTGCTTTATTTTTCTTTATAGCACATGAAGGACAACTTCTACTTAATTCCTGTCTGGACACCCTCCCATAACCCCAAATATTTAAGCTCCATGAGAATCATAATTTTTTAAAACCGCTTACTTTTGCCCCAGTGCGTAGAACAGAGCCCACAAACACAGACCCCCAAAATAAGTACCTGTTGAGTGAAGGGCCATGGCCTCCCATGATTCCTGCAATCAGACACTGTCCTTCTACAGAAATGGGGGGCAGTCTTCTTTCTAACAGCCACGGGCCTTTTCAGGAACAGTGACTCCTCAGAGTCCCAGCGGGACCAAGGACTGCTGCTCTGCACCTTCGGGGAGAGGACTCAGGCCATTCTGCTGTGAGAACCCCGCTCCCCCCAGTCAGATCGCTCCGCGTCTGCTGGGAAAACCCCAAACCTTTATATCGGAACTACCCAAGGGAGCCAACTCATGACCAACAACATGACGCAATGCACAACATCCGCCTCCCCAGTCTGGGTGCTCAGCCTGGGGGCAGCTCTTCACCCCCTCACAAGAGCCAGGCACCTGGCTGTGGGCTGCTCTTGTTCACCCGCCCGCACCCCTGCACCACGCCAGGCCTCACTGGCACCACCAGGCGATGTGCAGTGCTGATCCTGGGTAATGAGCCAGAACCATTATCTGTGCCACGGGCAGCCCTGGGACCCATGTCTCTCTTTAGGGACACACCACAGCGCAGCTGCGTGAGTCGGTCAGCAGAGGCCTCGATCACTGATAGATAACTTTATAGAAGAACAAAACACACGGTGCACAGGCTAAAATAGTCGGGAGGCTGAAGGCTGGAGTGTGCGCTGCTCTGGGGAGGGGTCACAATGCGTACCTTTAGTAGAAAGGGTGTCAACTAACTTATGCAGCTCCATGGACACAGGTGAGCTCCCGCCCCCAGGGAGACCTGGCCTCCCGCAGCCCAAGGCAGTGTCGCCTCGTGGCCTGCCAACGGATATGGTCACGGGTGGGGAGCCCAAAGTTTCCCTGATGCCAGTTCCAGTACAACATTTGCCGACAGAAATCTCAAATCCATTAATTAAACATCTACCAGCAGTCAGCTCCCTCACTGGGTTCTTTCTGTCTCATCAATCTCGCCCAACGCAGATCAGGCCCTGGACAAGCCCGGGAGGAAGCCAGCTGTCTGATTATTCAGCATTTGTTAAGACTGGACGCGGTGCCTTTTATAAACATTAAACCCTGACTAGGCACCGAAGATGAAAGGGGCAAAAATAGTCAGTGACCCCTCCCCGCTCACCCCCAGTTCCCCGAATAAAAAGATTCAGGAGACCCTAGAGAAGGAATTAATTCTGCCTCGACTTTTCTCTCTTCCTGGAAAGAGGCGGACATTGCGCTTAATGAATCATCTTATGCCCGTTTGTTCTCCTGTTGCCAGCTTGGGATTTGCATATATTTGGGGTCAGGAAGGTGACTTTCTGGTTCTGCCTCTGCATCTATTGCTCCCATTCTTGCAGCATCCTTGGATTGTTTCTTCTTGCCAGTTCTCAATGTATTTAATTCCTAGGTCAGCACACTCCTAGGAAACAGTAACACTTTTTTTAAAGGAGAGGGGGAGGGTGTCCATTTCCCTATTTTGCTCTGCCAAAGAAGATTTTCATACAATAAACTGTAGACTCCCTGGGATGGAGACGTGGATATTTTAAAAGTGCTCTGAGACTCCAGTCACAGTGCCCAGGGGGCAGCAGGGAAGGAGGCCGGGGAGTTGATGAGTCAAGGGACTCTGTGGGGTGGAGAGAGGAGATGCAACTTTGGGGATCTGCTGGGTAAACAGACGTCCCACGTGCCCCGCCTGGAGGGAACTCGCTTCTCTATTTCTCCTGGGGTCACCAATCTCAAGGGTCTCCAGTTCTAACCTTGGCCTCTTCTCTCTGCCTTAGATGCCACCTTCTTATTTTTATCCACATGGACGGGTTACCAACCACCTGCTCCCAAGGGTCGACAGACAAGAAGTGCCAAGCTCCATGGTTTGCAGGTTACAGCTGTAGCTCCCTTTTCCCAGCACAACATGCCTCAATCCCAAAGAATAAAGTTTACTTCAGGCCTCGTGGTAGGTGAGCCAGCAGGTGTATTTGGGCAACACACTGGGGGTAGGAGGAGTTTTCTGTGCCAGGCTGCCTGCACCTGGAAGTCCCATGTCTCACTTTCTTTGTCACCTAATTTCCATGCAGTCCCCACCCCGGACTCCTGGGAAGTCCCTAAGATCTGGGGAAATCAGTGGCTGACGGTGCTGAAGTTCTGCCAGGGACAGAAAAAAGATATATGTACGCCCAGCGTGAGCTGGCTCTATGGGCTCTCATCTCACACGGCCGCAGTCTGCAGTCCGCAGGTTTCCCAGTCAAGTCTGAGGGCTCAGCACGGGAGAAGGCAACTGGCGGGGGAAGGGGGGGGCTACAGAGCGGGCTGGGGTCCTTTGTCATTCCAGGAGCCATCGAATATAATCCCATGGAGTTGGCCAGTTGCAAGTCCAGAAGGGACCTTAGAAATTATCTAGACCAACTCTAAAAAACAGAACAAAACAAAAAAACACAGGTGAGGGAAGTCAGGCCAGTGAGACTTGCCACACACACTTGCTGATGGCAGAGCAGGAATGAGAATCTGGAAACATGGGTGCTACCCCGGCACCTGTCTGGCAGCATTCGGCCTGCCCACGTGTTTACACATAAGAAGTTGTTATTCCAAGATTAGAAACACTGAATTCCTCCCTCCTTAGATGCTCAACCCACTGCGACTCTCCAGCGACAGCTGGGTGCAAAGCAAGCAGGCAATGCATCATGTGGCCCGTGGGCCTCTGCACAGAGGTGGGAGAGAGCTGCAGTGTCCTGAGTCTGTGGAAGGCTCTCCAGTGGCACATGGGACATCCTGGTTCGAACAGCTGTCTTGGGAGTGAGGATGGAAGGTTTGTATCCTGACTTTCAAGATGGGGCGTTGGGGCCGATCCCAGGAAGATCTATTTTATGGGCAGAGAGTAAACCTACGGAGCACACCGACCAGAGTGAGAGAGTCAGGCTGAACCTATCAACACTTAAGCAGGGCAAAGTCCCCAAATCACGAGGATTTATGATGAACAGGGGTGTCTAGAGGCTGCCTGTAACGCTGCAGGCAAAGTCGAGAAGAAAGCCACTACCTCTGCTCCATCTCTCCTGCCAACAAGGGCTCGGGCCCCAGAGCTGACCCGGTGGACAATTCTAGGCCGTAAGACACCAACGCCGGCCATGTGTACCCCCCTCAGCTCATGGTAGAAACTCAATCAATACTTGCTAGGGCACTTTACACCTAGACGCGAAGGGATGGTCGGCATGTGGACGCGAGTCCCTGAGAAGCTTCCACAGCTAGAAGCACCCCCCGCCGGCCGCCCTCTGCCCGCCTTACCTTTCTCAGCTCATCGTTCTCCCTGCTGTGGGCGTCCTCCAGGATCTTGCGCTCTGAGTGGGCCTTTTGCAGCTCGGTCCGCAGGCTCTCAACTTCCTCCTGCAGCTTCAGGCCACTGTCCTCACCTTGGCTCTGCTGGTAGTGGGCCAGCTCCTTCTTCAGCTTCTCCACCTCCATGGCATGTGCAGAGGTGACCGCAGACAGCTGCTCCGACAGTGTCTTGAACTCTTTGTTCTGAGGAGAGCAAACAGGGAGAGGGGAGGAGAGGCGGAGGGCAACATTATCTGGCCAGGAAGAAACACGAAGGCAATTCAAAAAAGGGAACGTTCGATGTGGAATGCAACCTCCTAGTGACTGCATGCTTGTGTGCTTTCCTGGCCTCTCCCTGACAAAACTCTACTGTGGGCCTGGGAGGAATACAGGAAAGCAAAAATCACCGACGCTGACGCTCAAGGAGCATTCACGAGCAGCGGCAGAGCTGAGAGCTGGCGGCTGGCTAACAGCAGTTAGCGTTCCATGTCGGGCTGGACAGATCTTAGGCCTGGTTTTGAAGTTGTGGGAAGAGCGTAGCCGGGGTCTGCTGCCTTTCAGGATTCCCTGCTCCATGACAATGGCCCTCTTACCCCTGGACTCGCTGGCACAAAGAGCTGCAACCTAATCTCTGGCTCTGAGACAAAAGACCCCTTCAGCATCCCTCTTCCAAGGAGGCCTCCACAGGGCCTCAGGATCCCTCTCACCACCTGTCAGCTCACCCCTTAGGATTATGACTCCGGAGACTGAGGCTCTGGCAGAGGACATCCAAGCCTCACCCCACAGATGGGGTACCCGATCACGTGCCCACTCAAGCGATAGGTATGTGAGAAGCACACCCCCTTGGGCCTGGCGCAGGTATGGAGGGGGCCTGGGAAGTGGACGGCAGATAAGCTCGCATGGGTGAAGCGCTGAGGACCTGTATAAACACGGGCAGAACTGGTCCTGCCGGAGCTGACAGTGTCAGCTTAAAAGTGGTCAGCAGGTAGAGTGGAGAGAAAAGCAGGGCTCTCCAAAGAGTCACTGGTGATTGTTTACTGCTAGTGTCTGTGGGAGCGCCAAGGAGAACAGAGCTACTGGTTAAAATACCAGTAAGCTGGGGCATCAGGAGTCAATTGTTAATTTGTATCAGAAATTCAGCTCCATGAAAAGCAGTAGCAAAAGAACAGCGTTGGATCCGTACAATGCCCCCTTGTGGGACCACAAGGCTGGGACACCTCTTCTGCACTGCACCAGGGCTCCTGGTCAGGTGAGCAGCATGTGGGCTGGATTTCAGTCCTGCTCGTCCTCACAGCCAGTTACCCTGTGCAGGGCACAACCTGAAGAGCTGTACACAAGAGCCTCTGAGTGGTTCCCAACCAAAAGTCTACAAACCCCTGGCAGAGAGGGGGGAAAATCATCACAAGACAGTCTGCAACATGAGAAATGACACATCCCACACGTAGTACTAGCACTTCATGGGGTACTTGCTATGGGACAGGCATTGCACTCCATGAGCCTGCGTATTAACTCATTCACTCCTCAGGAAAACCCTATGCAGTAAGGCTGATTCATAGTCCCATTTCACAGTTGAGAAAACTGAGGCACAGAAGGCCAAAAGCTGTGACTTGTAACATACTATTTTTCAAATGTACGTAGATGCTTTTGTGAGTCATCAACATTAACTAATTTAACATATTTACTGAAGGCATACTAACCAAACTGAATCAAATTGATTTAAAAGGCTACTGACTGAATCCATATGTTTGTGTCAACTTTTTTCAGATAAAAAGCATTTAAATATAGCCTAATATTCATAAAGGTCTAAGAAACTTGACCTTCGCTAGAAAAAAAAATTATAGGTGCAACTGGCCTAGTCACTCTACAAGCTGTGCTTAAAGCAAAGCCAGACTGGTGGAGAGCTGAGTTCAGGGATTACATTTTGGCTGAAAATGTCACACCACAGGCCTCAACCAGGGACACTGTAAAAAATGGTTGCAGGAACTGTCACTGTATTTACTGCTGAAGGATATTGTGAAGGATGTGGCTTATCACATCACACGTTACAAAAGCCCAACAGGAAAATATCAGCACCGAGGACAGCCCTAATCTTCCTATTTCTCTTTCAACAACTCTCAAGTCACCCTATTTCCTTCTTTCTGTTGTTTCCTTGGGACTAGGTGTCAATTTTGTGTTTCTCTAGTTGGATGCACAAAACCTGAGACATGAACTTTGGGTGCTAGCCTTATCCTGGTTTTATTTTTCAGTTTCCTTCCTTGCTGACTTCTTGGCGGTGGGGATACATTTTAAAAGGCACCCCTCCCCCCC